GTTTTGAGGCTTGTGTTTTTTCAGCCGATTGCCACATACTTGAGCAGTGCTCGGCTGATCCGGTGTTTTATCAGAATTGTCAGGGCGTGGCGTTCCTGAGAAAATTGATGCGTATACTTGACAGTCGTTAGCATCCCAGTGGCTCGCTATGTGGACAGTTTGAAGGACGTATAGGTGGCTTCGATATCAATGTGAATTGTGATAGATGAAGCCTGAATTCCTTGCAAGCTGCTACCTTAACGCATACATTTGATGAAATCATCGTAGCATTAATGCATGCAGCATCTTCCCTTGTAACCATTTGCAATTTCAGTGCCCAATTTGTTCATAGGCACGGATGCCCTTATGATAAGGCTTAGGCGAACACTCGTGTGCTAGAAACGTGAGCCAGTTGATGCGTCACGGAAACACGTAGGTTATTCCTGCCCCCTGGCGTAATATAACAGCTTCATGTGATGACTGGAACCCATGCGCCTTGTATGATGTCGCGTTTTTAATCATTACCACGTGCATTTAGTGCAATGATCCTGACATGAACTGCGTCGTAATGGCGTCGTGATTGCATCCCCTGTTGAACGACACTCCGCTCCCACATCGTCGCACAGGGCTTCCTATTGGTGATGGCACCAGCGCGCCAGTCCGTGGTCCCGTTTTCAGTGATAGCGCTGTTATAGTGGCCTCGGTGATTGTACCAAACGACAAGTCTACGCCGTCGTTTCCAGATATTGTCCGGGTGGAATGAGCTTGAAGTAACATTGTTCTGGTGGAATGGGCTGCAACTGTGTGCAGCCCTTCCGTTCATGCGAGCGCAGCTTGCTGTAGCGCTTTGTTATGAGCTCTCCCAGTGTGCTTCGTACTCGACAGGATGTTGAGTTACGTGCAGCGGTTTGGACACACCCGCTACTGAAACCGCGCCGTGCTATGGATGGGTGCCGCAGATGTTTGACTTTTGAATGACTCAGTTATCGCCAGAAGCGCGCTGGTTTTTGCTGACATCACGAGCGCGCCGGTCTGGCGTGCACCGCGGCGCTGTTGCCCCTTCGCCCGGAGCAGCTGGGCGCGGGCGTCGCGGCCGACCCCGGCCGCCAGGCCCGTCTGAGGCGCTGACCCCCGCCGCCGGGCCCGTCCGAGGCGGGCACCCGACCGGGTGACGGGGGCTGTGTGATGGGGAAGGGGGGGGGGGGATAAGACGCGGCTGGCCTTGCCCCGTCGTGCAGATGATCGGTGGTACGGGGTGGGTTTGGATGCCGATTCTGTGGCGCACGGTCGTGTCGCCCACCCCCGGTTGTCCCAGCTTGTGCTGCGCGTGTAAAGGTACCGGCATATTTAGCCTCGTGGTAAAGACGGCCTGGTGACGGACTTTCCGGAAAAAGACGGAACACACCGATGGTCGATACTATGCAGATTCTTTTGACGTCCTGATTGCCAGGAGGAAGCCTGTGCGATTCGCAATTACTCGAATGCTGAGGAAACGCAGTTCTGATTCTGTTGTATGTGATGAAAAATTGGGCTGTCGATGGATGTAAGTGTATCATGTGCAACCAGTTTGTGTGCTTTTGAGCTGCTCTGCGTACAAATACACAAAAGGGATGAGTTCGGACCTAACGTAGAGCTGGTGTCACTCCCAGAGAATGGGCATTAAAACAATGTGTGTGATGTGATGTCAATTCTTTGCCGCCTCCGTGGTCTAGAGGAAAGATGCTCGACTCGTAATCCGGCGGCATTGGGTACGAGTCCCAGAGCGGGCGCGTTGTTTGGCCCGACTGAAATGGAAAGGTCAGCTGGCAACTGGCCAACGAGGGTCAACCCGGGGCCCGTGGCGGCCGTGTCGCAGCATTGTGCGGCACGTAAAACCCCCCGCATTCGTGTCTGGCGCAGGGGCGGAGGCAAAGTTATCCTTTGAACTAAGCGAAACGACTTGGGTGGTGGGGTCAGGGCGCACGCAACAAGCTATGCTTAGCAGGTGCTATGAACCCAGTCACCGATGCAAACCATTCGGAATAAATAAATAACAAAAATCATTTCCGATGTACTAGCAGGCACCACCATAGCGCAGATCCAAACAGCTCGCACATGTGCTACATCACGGATGGATAAGACCACAGACGAGTCATTGAGTTAGCTTACATCATGGACGTGCTGCATTCTGTAGAGGAAGCCGGCTGAGCTCAGACAGCGACAGTTGGCGTCATGCAGGATGGGCGTCCTGTCCACCGTACAGACGGTTGGCTGCTGCTGGCTGCTAATGAGTCAGCAATGTGCGCACAAGTCCCGTGTTGCGTTTTGCGTTTGACGTTATACGTTTAGGGTGCGTGCGAACGGTGCAGTTGCGATCAGGCAAACGCAGAGTCCTGGTTTTGTCGGTGAAGCGACGCCTTTTTGGCGCGTCGTCGAAGTTGTGCAAACTTGAGTAGTTTTTTCCCACCGATCGCTGCGGTGTCCATGCATGGCTACACTGAAATCGACCTGGTGACGCGGCTCGTCGCATGATCCGGTAGACCTGGAATGGCTTGCGGAACGGCAAGTTGCCGAAACGAACGGATGCTGCTGCCGGCTCAGGCGCCAATAGCCGGATCGTGTTCCCCTGCAGGGCTACTCTACCCGTCTGGCAGTTGATGCATGCTTCTGGTGTGTCTTAGGAACGAGAATATATTGCACATTTTCCGATCTAGCACCTCCCCGCGGTCGTAATCCTGTTGTCACGGCGGCCTTTGGTAACTGAGGTATCGCTGCTTGCCATACACACAATTCAAATGCCGCCGGCTCTCATCCGAGACGTGGCGGACATCCGCCCTCGCGAACCAGCGCCCGTTATCAGTCCTCGCCTCTCTGGACTTTGTCTGTTTTAGGCTGTTTCATCCAAGGCCACTATCTCATCCTGACACCGCACCAGGAGCTGGGGCCTTGTCTCCGCTGCCGCAGAAGGCGTTTATCGGTCTTGCGGTGCTCAGTCGTAGTGCTGCAGGCGGTCGTGACGATACAGGACGCCTGCCAGGACTCGCCAGCGTCACACTGCTGGTGGGAACGCCAGCAGCGTCGTGACGCCGTGCTATAGACATCCCGTATGCGCTTTCCAGCGTCATGGTCATTCTGCAGATTGGTTTTTCTTATCACGGCTAACCAATGATAACGATAACTCCGTCATTTGCGCAATGCGTGCTTGGGCTTGCTGTACCGTGCTACTCTGGCATCAAAGCGCGCACAGCGATGCTGATACGCCACCCGTTCCGGACAAGTTCGACGCTTGCCTTTGCTCTCCGTGCCTCGCCCCTGGGCATGGATCTCCGCCGGTCACGTGCGTGTAGCTCGCGTGATTGTACACCACCTCAGGCCGAATGATCCCTGCTCTATTCCCGCCGTGCCATCCCAAATGACGTCGACTTAGGTCAAATTCATAAACCATCCATGTGAAAGAAAATCAGATCGCTAACCGGCTGTGTGACCAGTACAATGCTTTTCTGTGGTCAGAAAAAAGTGTATTGTACATCTAAAGGTGCTCCGAAACGCGTAGTTGTTGTCCGCATTATGCTGAATTCCTTCGACGTTTGGCAATGCATTTGTAGCAAACTGAGAACAGTTTAGTTTGTACATGAAGCTGGATGACATTATCTTCACAAACAGGTAGGGAGGTGGTTACACGCACCGCGCTCGTTAATCTAGCCTCTCTGCTACTGACAACGTAGGCCATTGGCCTTGGGTGACGTCATATGACCTTGCATGCTCTCACGTGGCCTATTGTGACCTCATCATACATTAGAGTGATATCCCAGTATGTTTTCATTGGAGTATTCAAATCCTGCATCCAAAATTGCTCAATAAAGCTGCCTATTTTGAGCTCAGCCTGTGTTGTGCAGAAGGTGCCCATTGAGATAGGACAGGACCGGGGCCAAGGCCATGTTCTCTGTGACCATATGATTGTTGTACATGTAAGTTATACCCTTTTCTTCACATGCAAACACCAAACCACACAAGAATCAGTGAAAATTTCCCTTTGTTTTTCATGAATAAATTTACATGAACATCATATACGAAACATAGTGAAAATTTACCTGGCTTCGGGTTACTAACCTCGCATTTCCTGAAAATCTGAAATAAACTAACTGTAGGTGTTAACATATTCTATTATTATAACAAGTTTGAACAGTGGCAAATGAACTATACAACGTATGTGTGGTCAAAGTTGTTGACATGTTGGTCTCTTTGACCTGACCTTTAAACTTTTTTGTTGGTATGATTCTTTGGCTTACATCTGGAAAGCCATAGGATCAAGCGCTACAAAGGCAATTAAAACATCAAATTACTAACATGCTTTTCCTAGTGCAACGTAAGTGCAATCCATCCTAATCTTGTCACTGTCACTTAATGAGATTGCGGCAGTTTCACTTAGTCAAACTGGGCGACATCGCAGTTCAAGGTGGTAAAACTAGGATGTGATGGTAGAAAGTCTAACGTGAAATTTTGCGGTCAGGGATCTTATGTGAGAACTCAGAAGATCGACTCCATACGAACATTATGGATTCTGTTTGCCCAGCGTCTCAGCCAAAATTATAACAAGCTTGATACCAGGTGCAAATGAAGGAAGTTTTGTAACTGAAGCGCGTTCAGTAATCTCGCACCATATATCGCTGCATTCTTGCACATAATGTTTCTTACAACCTGCCTGAAATAATTTTAGCTAAAAAATACAAGAATGTTTTCCTCAATCAGAGAACAAACAGCATTTCTCACACTGTTGTACGCTTCTCAATCTGTGACCCTGAATCATTGTCTGCACCCTGAAAACCCGTGTGTGCCGCTGCTATGGTGTCGGTGTCGTGACGCTGTCATGGATAGATTCTCCAACCCTTGCCTCGTGTGTCCGCCGACGCCCCTCCGGTGCACACGGCAACGGTGTCTGGGTGAGAGTGCGCATGCGCCGTGACCCCGCCCCGCGTCCTCGCCGGCGTCGGTGTCCGCGCCACCGCGCCGGTGCCCTGACCCGCGCCGTGCCGCGCCGCCAGTGGTGTCCGTGTCGGTGACGTCATCCGAGATATTCGCCGACTGGGCGTGGCTGGAGTCGACCCTGCTGCCGATCGTGCCCGCCTTCGACTCGGACGATGACGTTATGGAGTTCGTCAAGTGCAAGATCGAGAGTCTGGTGGCCCAGCGCTCTGTGCCGGTCGAAGGTGAGGTTCGTTAAGTTGGGATGGGGTGGGGGGCTGCTGAACGGCAGGTTGGTGCGCGGACGTGGTCCTCGGGGATGACTGGGGTTGAAGCAAATGTAGGCTGTTAGGAGCAGTTATGTCATTGATTGCTTGCTTGATGTCGTACAACCAGCGTATCCTGGCATACTGAAGGTCGGTTGTGATCAGCAGAATAGCTCGGGATTGGTTTGAGGCTGCGCGTTAGGCATAATGTTTTCAACAAGGTCTCGGCCTTGTTGAAAACATTGTGCCTAACGCGTAAGCAAGGATGTAGTTTCGCAAAACGAATTGGAATGGTGGGGATGGGACTGAGCAAGGAAAATGACTAAAACTACCCTAGAAATTTACAGAAAATCAAACTTCTCCGCGACTTTGACACACTTTCCTCTCAAACTTGGGGGGGGGGGGAGTTAGAACCAAGTGAAAAGGAAACGTCGCTCTGCTCGTACGCATGTGAGGTGGGTCCGTCAGTCTTAGGCCGCAGTAGCACTGAACCCGTGACCACAACATGGATACCCGCTGCAGGGGAATTAGGTCAGGTCAGGAGACATGCCTGTGACGCACATCGCCGCGGCAGCGAATAACCGCCGCACTGCTACGTGACTCACGGGGATGGGCGGTGCATTGCCTGCACTCGCTCAACTTCATAACTGCTGCACAAGTGAACACCCACACGGCGCGCGTGCGACGCGGCACGCTCCGTGAGCGTCCAATTTCGCTGAGCACGTGAGGCGAGCCGCGTCCTCCCTTTCTCGCCGCGTCCTAGCTGGCGCGCCTGCGCCTCTTGACAAAGCCGTCATTGGCGGAGTCCATGGCCGCCGTCACCAACGGTGCCGCTGTGGGAAAGGCTGGGGCGCGCGGTTTGGCGCTGGCTCGCCGCTGCTGGCGCCCGGTCGGACCGCGCTCGGTAGACTGCGCCGCACGGCTCCCACGCGCGGCGGGTCGGCCGGCCACAGGTGGCTCGCCAGGCGGGCCGGGCGCCCGACCTTTGGAATGTAAAGTGCTGTCCTGTGCACCGGATATGTGCGGGTACAGGGGCGGTGTCACGGATTTTCAGTTAGAGGCAAGGTTTTACGGAAACAAAATGAGACCTCCTCACAAGGGGGGGGGGGGGGGGGTGAGGGGCTCCTGGGCAGTATGGTATTATTCAGGGGGAGGAGCACGTGCCCTTATGAAATTGCGACATGCAGCGGATCGAAGTAAACTCACGTGTAAAATTAAACAGGACATCACCCTTCCGATTCACAAAAGGAGCCTCAAAGTCTAGCAAGCGGCCTGGTTATCCCAAAACGGGACATCCTGATCCGAAACCGTGGTCATGTATTGCATTGAAAGAACCTCCCGTTCCAGAAATAGGGCTCGCTGAATATGAGGGTGCCTTCCAGTCTGGAACAGGGGCCTCCTAGTTCGCAACTCTTGAAACGGTCGTAACCTATCGAACCAGCATATGGGCATCCTTAACACAATACTGGATCTCCTGATCTAGAACATGTGCTACAATAGTCATGATCGTAGTCTCATAGACCAGGAAATGAGCTTTTTGAAACAGGAAATGGTGTTCTGATCCCCATTTATCGCGCTCTGGCCCAGTATGAAGGCCTCCATAACATAAATTTTGGTAATTTGCGCGCAACCACAAATGCTTTTGTTTTGGAATGAGGGTCTCCCAAATATTTAAGGGACAAAAACATACTCTTGCCCCCTGACTGCCGGGGAACTGAACCCACTGCCCCCTCCCCCGCTGCCACTCCGGTCCCTGGATGGGTGTGGATAGCTTTATTGGAGATCATTGTGCTGCCTTTCCTTTGTCTTCTGCCACCGCTGGTACCCATACTCAGGTAATTCGCCGATTTTCGAAGTTTTGAGGGCGTAGCAGGTTTTGTGCTGTAGTTGTTGATGCACTTTGGGGAAACAGCCGACTTCCGGCAAGACAGCTCTGTTGTTCGTGACGGCGAGCGTGGCGTGTCACCACCCCGCTGACGTAATGTGAGATAACGCGGCGTCTTCTCGCGAGCGACCATTCCGGGCCGCCCGGCCCACTCCGGGCCATTCCGGCCCACTCCGGCCCATTCCGGCCCATTCCGGCCCACTCCAGCCCACTCCAGCCCACTCCAGCCCACTCGGGCCACTCCGGGCCGCCTGGCTCACTCCGACCCACTCCGGGCCACCCGGCCGGCGCCCGGCCATCTCACCCGGGCGGTGCCGAAAGTCAAGGGACGATAAGGTGGCGGCCCGACTATCCGGACCGTTGTCGTATCTGCTGGACACGGCCTCGCCCCCAATGCGTGAGAGCCGAGGAGGATTCGCAGTGCAAAGGAGGGCGCTGAAGACGGTGTTCCGCTGCGTTCCGCTGCGTTCCACTGCGTTCCGCTGCGTTCCGTTGCGTTCTGCTGCCTTTTGCTACGTTCCGCTGCGTGCCGCTTCGTGCCGTTGCGTTCCACTGCGTTCCGCCGCATTTCGCTGCGTTCCGCTGCGTTCCGTTGCGTTCTGCTGTGCCACGCTCGGTGCCCGGGTCCGGTCCCAAGCATGTGTTGCCGCCTGTTGGAGCGCACCTTCGCGTGTCTGAAGCGGCGCCTGCTCTCAGACTCGGAGTCGGACTCGTTCAAGTCGACGACCGAGAAGTTCCGGCGCCTGTTCAACGCGCCGGCCGAGGAGAAGCTGGTCAACCATTACTCGTGCAGGTACGGCCCCCACGGCGCCGCTTCCGCCCGCCGCCGCCGCGTCTGCGACGAGCGACGACGCGCTGGGTTGAGGGTGTGTCCCTGGAGGAGCGGGAACTGGCGCGACGAACTCGGAACGGAGCGAGGTTCCGCCTTTTATCGGTGGTTAGGCTCGCTGCGGCAGCAGCCGCCGGCGTACGGAAGGGCAGCGAAAATTCAGCCAAATGATGTGGACCGTTTGAAGCCAGCTTTCTACTCAGATGACAAGGCATGCGTTCGTGTCTGTTGATCATTCGGATGTGAAGCTTTTGACGTTTTTGTCCTTTGCCCTCAATTGCATCACTCATTTTCGTGGCAAGTACCAAGGCAGTTGACACGCCCATATAGGACATGTCAAACATATACAACCGTATATATATATATATATATATATATATATATATATATATATATATATATGCACACGAATTTCCACAAGTTTTGTTTCGTAATCTAGGGGCGGACAAAAACATCGGGGCAAATTGAAGCGGACGCATGCAGTTTGGTATGTAATGGACCATACAGTGACTACACCTTTTACCACTACCGATGCCGCCTTCATAGCCGCCTTCTCAGTGGATGGCGTCGTCCAGCGTCTCAGTCCGTCATGACGGAATTCTGACGAGCATGGATCAATTGAGCTGGACCGCGCCTGGACCGTGACCGACCCGCGCTGACCGGCTCTCTCTCCCGCCGCGGCTGCAGCTACTGGAAGGGCGTGCCGCGCCAGGGCTGGATGTACCTGAGCATCTCGCACCTCTCCTTCTACTCGTTCATCCTGGGCCGCGAGGTTAAGGTGCGGCTCCGCTGGACGGACATTGTCAGCCTGGACAAGTCCAACTCGCTCATCTTCCCCGACAGCATCAAGATCTCGACGCGACAGAAGAGCGTGAGTCAGCGCGCGGCTCGGTGGGGGTGAGGGTGGAAGAAGGAGAGGGGGTAGGGGTAAGGGTAGGGGTGGGGGTAGGGGTAGGGATAGGGATAGGGATAGGGATAGGGATAGGGATAGGGATAGGGATAGGGGTAGGGATAGGGATGGGGGTAGGGGAAGGGGTAGAGGTAGGGATAGAGATAGAGATAGGGATAGGGATAGGGATAGTGGTAGGGGTAGGGGTAGGGGTAGGGGTGGGGGTAAGGGAAGGGGTAATGGTAGGGGTAGAGGAAAGGGAGAGAGGTAGGGGCAAGAGCAGTACGGTGCGCGGTGGGTGCTGTGTGCCCATGCTGCCAGTGGCGATTACGCCCTCACTTGCCGTGAATCTTTGGCGTTTTTGTGTTTTTGTTTTTGACTGGATGCCGCCGTTTGCCACACTTGTTCGATGAACGCCAACGTTGAATTTCGCGCAATCGGTCAAACTTCGTGCCATGCCGTTTAAAACATCGGCCAATCACTGGTATTTGTATGCCTGACGCCAGCGCTGGCCGGCGGCGGCGAGCGTGGCTGTTGCGCTGTTGTATCACGCGGCGAGCGAGTGACGTCTGCGGCGTTGTGTGACGGTCCACCGCGCTCCGCAGTACTTTTTCTCCATGTTCCTGCGTAAGCGGGAGACGTACGACCTAATCGAGCAGCTGGCCAACATCGCCATGCGCCAGCTGATGCGCGAGGAGGGCTTCAGCGAGGACCCCGAGCTGCTCAACAAGATCAGGTGACGCCGGCGGCGCCGCTCGCGAGGATCAGGCGCGGTCGCTGGCGCGGACGGGCCAGTATACCGAGCGGTCCCCACTGCGTGATGTGGGCGGTGCAGTGGGCAGTGACCGCTGAAGGCCGCTCAGTGGGCGCGGTTCAGCGCCGAGCTCTGCGCGCGGCTCTGCGCGCCTGGGCCAGCTCCGCCGGGTCCGGGTGGTGTGGGTGTGGCGGCGCCGGTGGCGCTTCGGTGCCCTTGTTGGGCTTTCCCGGTCATCCATCGCCGGGCGGCGGACCAGCTGCCACGTGGATGTAACTGAAGCCGGGCGTTTGACGCCCCCGGAGCTGCGAGGACGCGGAACTAGCGCGATGGCGGGGGCGGTCTGCAGCTGTTCGTGCTCTGTTTTCCCGAAGCGTCGGCGGATGTTGCTAAAGTTGTGCTCCCATGGGCCTTTACCATCGGCGCGCCGTAATGATCGTCTCCGCCCCTGTTCAGTTGAACGCCGCCGGTTTTGCAGCGCGAGCGCCGTGGGCAAGTTAAGTATAAGTCGAGGCCGCGCGACGAAACGAGAGCCGCGCGGTGGGCGCGTGTTCCGGCCGACCGCGTCATCTGGAGCTCCGACCGGCCGCCGCGACAGCCCTGAGCTGTTCACAACTCCGCGCTGTTATTGCAGGCGGCCCAGGATGGGAGCCGATCGGGCTCCAAGCACTGAGGGTGGGCGGCCGGGGGGGGGGGGGGGGGGGGGAGGTGAGGGGTTGCTGATGCGTCGCTGGCGGGAACGTGGCGTGCTGGCTGAAAAGCCCGTTGTTCCGTCGTTACCAATAGGAGCACGTCGGGGCCGAGTACTGCCAAGTGCTCGGCCGCGCCAAAGGATCCAAGCATGGATCCTTTGGCGCGAATTGTTTATTGGTCGTCGGAGCTCGGTACCGTTTTCTGGCAAACGTGGGCTCCGACGCGTCAAAGGATCCATGCTTGGTCGCCGAGCGGGCCCGGGGAGTGGTGCCAGCCGCGAAAGAATGCGTTCGCTCCGTCTTTTGAGTTGGACTCCTGCGCGCTCGCCGCATGTAGCTTTTGAAATGATGCTGCGATCCGTATGGAAACATGAATAGCGCTCTAGATTGGCTGCAGACTAGCGCCCTAGACCAATCCGGATGTTGTGATAGCAAATGGTTCCATCGCTTGTCTAGATTCACGTGTTCCGTGCAGCATACGTGATGCTCCACCGTCTATATGCGGAACGCGGCGCCCCGAAGCCTAGTAAACCTGACCATGCCCTGCGCTGCCGCCGGCGAATCTGTCGGACCGCCTGCTGTGCCAGACGCTGAACACGGAGGTCTCGGGTGCGACTCTCTCACCGCGGGGGGGGGGGGGGCTGACAGAGCGGCACCAGCTAAGAACGTAGCTCAGCCTAGGCGTTGCTTGGGCCATGGTATACGCGGAAAGGTGTCCTTATTGCGGGCGCTGTGTGGTCCGAAGCCCGCGCACCGCAGCGTGCGTTGTGAGGTGCTCTCGCGGGCTTGACCACCCGTTGCGGCATTCGTCTGACCTCGGCGCTGTTCCGCAGCCGCAACGTGTCGCGGAAGACGCCCGGACTGAAGCGCGACCTGGACGCGCGCGCGCACAGCGAGGCGTATCGCAGCAACTTCCGGCTGCCCTGCGCCGAGAAGCTGGACGGTCGCGCCGACTGCACGCTCTGGACGCCGTACAACAAGCAGCACGTCTGGGGCACGCTCTACATCAGCATGAACTTCGTCTGCTTCGAGAGCCGGGTCAGTTGGGGGAGATGGAGGACGAGCGGAGGGCGGGGCGTGGAGCCCGGCGAACAGCGTCTCGGGCCTAGTCTCTCAGCTTGGGAGGGAGAGGAGAGGGAGAGGAGAGGGAGAGGGAGAGGGAGAGGGAGAGGGAGAGGGAGAGGGAGAGGGAGGGGGAGAGGGAGAGGAAGAGGGAGAGGGAGAGGGAGAGGGAGAGGGAGAGGGGGAGGGAGAGGGAGAAGGAGAGGGAGGGGAGGGGAAAGGAGAGGAGGGGCCGCCAGGCCGTGGCGGTGCGTGGAAAGGACCGGCCAGCTGCGCACCGTTCAGCGGCGAACTGTTGCCGCTCCAGTGCGACCGGAGCTCAGACGCTCCACGGCTGCCTCGTTCGTGACCGCCATCTGCATGCGGCGGGCGGAGCGAGCCGTCTTCCTTTGCCGCCATCAGTCAGGAGAGCCGACAGGGAAGGGCGCTCTGATACGTCACGCCGACCGGCGGTGTTGACGGCGCGCTGATTGGAGTGGGCGCTCTGTTTCGGGCGCCCCTCCCGCAGCTGTGTACGCGGAGCGCGCGGACGAGCGGGCGGGAGCGGTGCTGGCCGTCGTGGCGCCAGCGCGTGTCGCTGAACTTTGCTCGCGGCCGGCCGGTGTCGGCGGCCGGCGCGGCGGCGCGAGGCGAGACGACCGCGGCGCCCACGATGCCGGCACCGATCGCCGCCGGCCGGCGGGAGAGGTGAAGCGGACCGCTTCGTCCCAGGCGTGTCCTGGTGGGGTCCCACACCGGGCAGCCTCGGCCGGGTGTGGGGAGAACTCGGGCTGGGAATGAGGGGGGCTGGGGCTGGGAGTGAGGGGAGCTCGGGCTGGGAGTGGTCAGAGCTCGGGCTGGGAATGGGGAGGTCGGGCTGGGAATGAGGAGAGCTCGGGCTGGGAGTGGGGAAAGCTCGGGCTGGGAGTGGTGAGAGCTCGGACTGGGAGTGGTGAGAACTCGAACTGGGAGTGGGGAGAGCTCGGACTGGGAGTGATGAGAGCTCGGGCTGGGAGTGGTGAGAGCTCGGGCTGGGAGTGGTGAGAACTCGGCCTGGGAGTGGTGAGAGCTCGGGCTGGGAGTGGGGAGAGCTCGGGCTGGGAGTGGTGAGAGCTCGGGCTGGGAGTGGTGAGAGCTCGGGCTGGGAGTGAGGAGAGCTCGGGCTGGGAATGGGGAGAGCTCGGGCTGGGAGTGGGGAAAGCTCGGGCTGGGAGTGGTGAGAGCTCGGGCTGGGAGTGGGGAGAGCTCGGACTGGGAGTGGTGAGAGCTCGGGCTGGGAGTGGTGAGAGCTCGGGCTGGGAGTGGTGAGAGCTCGGGCTGGGAGTGGGGAGAGCTCGGGCTGGGAGTGGTGAGAGCTCGGGCTGGGAGTGGTGAGAGCTCGGGCTGGGAGTGGGGAGAGCTCGGGCTGGGAGTGGTGAGAACTCGAACTGGGAGTGGGGAGAGCTCGGACTGGGAGTGATGAGAGCTCGGGCTGGGAGTGGTGAGAGCTCGGGCTGGGAGTGGTGAGAACTCGGGCTGGGAGTGGTGAGAACTCGGACTGGGAGTGGGGAGAGCTCGGACTGGGAGTGATGAGAGCTCGGGCTGGGAGCGGGGAGGGCTCGGACTGGGAGTGGGGAGAGCTCGGACTGGGAGTGATGAGAGCTCGGGCTGGGAGCGGGGAGGGCTCGGACTGGGAGTGGGGAGAGCTCAGGCTGGGAGCGAAGGGGCTCGGGCTAGGAGTGAGACCGGTACCTCGAGCTGGCAGTGACCCTGTCACGGTGCTGGGCCGCTGACCCGGGCTGTGTTCTAGCACGCGCTGCCGGCGCCGGCCCCGACTGGGTCGCGCCGCCCCGCCCGGCGTGGGGTACCCGGACACTGGCTGACCGACGAGACCCCGACCAGGGCGCGGGTAGGTGCCGGCCGCCGAGACAGACAACAGCATGCCTGCCGCCTGGGCAGGGGAACGCCGACGAGACAGACGCATGCGGTGCCGGCAGCGTGGGACGTTTTGGGTAGCTGTAGGGGTGATATGTTTGGCACAACTGCGAATGGAGGGGCCTCTTGGTAAGTGCGGCATGATTGTGACGTAGCTCGACAGGAACAGAGCGAGGGTTTTAAGTTGGCGGCTTGCGCCCGCGTAAGACGGTTTCATTAGCGTATTTGACGGGAGCGATGTTTGGTTTGAAGTAGTACTCACCCAACCTTCCCACTGGAACCGCATACCTCCGTCAACTAATAACCCCGTCACCTACCGCTGAGACAGCAGAATAAAACCGAGAAACAACACCAGTGGCCAGGCGTGCTGCGGTAGCGTGGCATATTGCGCAACATTAAGTCTTACGCAATTTCCAGTCAAACATTTTCGTGAACGCGAACTTGAGATGTCGCTCGCGCCATTGAAGTTTCACCCGAAGAAGTTGTCGAGCTGGCGCGTCCCGTGATGCGGGCTGTGCCGCCGCCGGCAAGCTGGGCCGGCGGTCTGGCGGGTCGGATTACGGGGGTTACGTGCTGTCTGGTGGTGACGCGGGGCGAAGTTTGAGAATGTTCACGTGTATGAGCCACGTGCGGAAGTCTGGCGCTGCGGCCGGCACCGAAACTCTGCTGCTGGCAGGCGGGCGACGGTACGCACGAACACATTTATGGAACGAGATTGGTTGATTGGACTTTGGAGATATTGCTTCGCGAAGTGGAAGGGAGAACGTCTAACGTCGTTGCCGCATTCTCGATTCTCGACTCCGCATTGGCGTCGGATAAGCCGCGCCGCGCTCAGCTGACACTGGCAGGAGAGGGTTGTAACGCCGGCTTTGCCAGCACCCCGTCAGCCGTCTGCCGAGTGGCCCCGCCCGCGCCGGAGTCGTGACACCCCGCAGTTCGCCGCAGGGGTCTGGTCAGCCGTCTTTTGAGTGGCCCCGCCCGCGCATGAGTCGGGACACCCCGCAGTTCGCCGCAGGGGTCCTGTCAGCCGTCTGTCGAGTGGCCCCGCCCGCGCCGGAGTCGTGACACCCCGCAGTTCGCCGCAGGGGCCCTGTCAGCCGTCTGCCGAGTGGCCCCGCCCGCGCCGGAGTCGTAACGCCCCGCAGTTCACCGCGGGGGTCCTGTCAGCCGTCTGTCGAGTGGCCCCGCCCGCGCCGGAGTCGTGACACCCCACAGTTCGCCGCAGGGGTCCTGTCAGCCGTCTGTCGAGTGGCCCCGCCCGCGCCGGAGTCGTGACACCCCGCAGTTCGCCGCAGGGGTCCTGTCAGCCATCTGCCGAGTGGCCCCGCCCGCGCCGGAGTCGTAACGCCCCGCAGTTCACCGCATGGCGAACTGCTCGTCACTCAAACCAGCGTGCGTCTGTACCCTGCCTCCGGCCTGTTCCCCGGACGGGCACACGCCGTGAGCGTGACAGAGAGCGGAACCGGCCGCTGCTCAGAGTCCTTTGCCCCCTTCCGCCCGCGCCGCTGGCCCGGCGCTGGCGCTGACTGGCGGGAGCTGCTGCTCGGAGGGTTACGCCGCTGCTGACCAGCGTCGCTGGCTCAGGGCTTCCGGCGCTGGCGCTGACTGGCGGGAGCTGCTGCTCGGAGGGTAACGCCGCTGCTGACCAGCGTCGCTGGCTCAGGGCTTCCGGCGCTGGCGCTGACTGGCGGGAGCTGCTGCTCGGAGGGTAACGCCGCTGCTGACCAGCGTCGCTGGCTCAGGGCTTCCGGCGCTGGCGCTGACTGGCGGGAGCTGCTGCTCGGAGGGTAACGCCGCTGCTGACCAGCGTCGCTGGCTCAGGGCTTCCGGCGCTGGCGCTGACTGGCGGGAGCTGCTGCTCGGAGGGTAACGCCGCTGCTGACCAGCGTCGCTGGCTCAGGGCTTCCGGCGCTGGCGCTGACTGGCGGGAGCTGCTGCTCGGAGGGTAACGCCGCTGCTGACCAGCGTCGCTGGCTCGGGGCTTCCGGCGCTGGCGCTGACTGGCGGGAGCTGCTGCTGGAGGGTAACGCCGCTGCTGACCAGCGTCGCTGGCTCAGGGCTTCCGGCGCTGGCGCTGACTGGCGGGAGCTGCTGCTCGGAGGGTAACGCCGCTGCTGACCAGCGTCGCTGGCTCAGGGCTTCCGGCGCTGGCGCTGACTGACGGGAGCTGCTGCTCGGAGGGTGACGCCGCTGCTGACCAGCGCCGCTGGCTCAGGGCTCACACGGCAGCACGGACGACTTGCTCGCCGCTCTTGCTGACGGAATGGGGCTCGGTTCAGACACCCCAGCGTGCAGACTGCGCTGCTGGCACCGTGTTCCCGCCTGGGTCCAGCGTTCTGAGCACCAGCGTGCGGACTCAGGCGTGCGTGCGGCTATGGGTGCGCTCGGGTAGCGTAATCGTGTAGACGGGAGTACGGCTGGGGGCTGTGTGCCTGCTCATGCGTGTGTGTGGCAGACATACGTGCGCAGTCGCTCTTGCGTGCGAGGGCGTGATTGGGTAGGTGTGTGCATGTGCGTGTGATTGTACTGTGAACACGTCGGCGTCCGTTACATCGTTTTTGAGACACGTGTGTATTGTGTTGTCATCCCTGGAAAGAAACACGCGCCGACCAATCAACGGGCATCGATGCCCGCTCTTGTTGATGCGTTTCCAAAGGTTGTACAGCCCACCTGGTTGGCTTGTTGCGCTGTTCGAGTGGCGGGGGCCGGATGCGTGATTGCTATGGACGGGGTGTTTGTGGGGGCCCACGCTCGGTGGTTGGTGGCGTTAGGTGGTCACGATGCTGGTGGTGTCGGCACGTGCCGTCGGGGCGGAGACAAAGCTGACTTTTCCGATGCCGCACCTGTTGTTTGGAAGAAACCGCGGCTTCGATGTAGCGTCCGGTGTCCGTCGTCAAACTTGTCGTATGCGCTTCCTGGCACGGACAGCTCTCTGGCCCCGGTCGTTCTGTGGCGGTGCGCGCGCCGTCGCCGGGAAGCACGGGACCGGCACTGCTGATGGTTCTCGACCCCGCCCGGACCCTGAGAAGCCTCTAACCAGGCCCTCGCTCTAAACGGACCCCCAGATCTTCTCATGGCCCGGCTCCTAACCGCCCCTGGCCCGGCCCCTGATGAATCCCTGAACGACCTCTGCCCACCCTCGAGGAACCCCTGACCGGCCCTGACATCTGACCGCCCCTACCCCCCTCCCCGTTCGCCCCTAACATCTGGCCACCCCGACCCTCCTCCCTGCCCGCCCCTGACGGGCCCCTGATCTGTCCGTCGCCAGGTGAAGGGCCTGGTGTCGCTGATGGTGTCCCTAACATCTGACCACCCGCCCCTCCTCCCCGCCTGCCCCTGACTGGCCCCCGATCTGCCCGTCGCCAGGTGAAGGGCCTGGTGTCGCTGATCGTGCCCCTGCGCGACGTCTCGCTGGTGGAGCGGGCCGACTCGCCGGGCTGCACGCAGGACCTGTCGTCGGCCATCTGCGTCTCGATGAAGCACCGCCAGAGCTTCCTGTTCGCCCAGGTGGCCGACCGCGACTTCGTGCTCGAGCGGATCGCCGAGTTCCTGGCCCGGCTCACCACCTGCGCGGCGGCGTGAGTGTGTGTGTGGGGGGGGGGGGGGGGGGAGCGGCGGCCGAGAGGCGGGGCACGCGGGGAGGTCTGCCGACGCGCGCCGGCGGCCGGCACGAGCGTGCCACACGCCCCGTCCGCGATCCTGTTGGGGGAGAACGCTCGCGCTGCTGGCGTGGTTGGCGACGTTGCTGTCGTCGTCGGTGGCCGGCGAGGCCGTGCTGGTAGGTGCGCGTCGGCTGGTTGTTTGGTTGGCGTGCGGCTGCATCCAGCTCGACGGCGATGAGCTGGCGCACACGATTGGGGACGTGGTCTTTTGGCGGCTTTGCGCTATGTCCTGTGGGCTGTAACACAGCTCGGGCGGGCGCCATCCCGCGTCCTGGTTGTGTTCGGCGGATGATCACGCTCGTCTGCGCGTGCTGAGCGCCGGCTGTCACGACGTCGTTTATTGGTGCTCATGGCTGCCGCCTCCTGTCAGCGTCCACTGACTGTGGCGCCGATGCCATGGTCCAGTCTCCGACGTGTAGCGTCGCCCAGCGGTCACCATGGCAACGCTCTGTGTGGACAGACCGAGCGCTGATCGAGTCAGCATCCAGAGCGTGTCGTCCAACAGTTCGGGTTACATTGTTGTCGACTCGGATCAGCAGGGCAAGTCACAAGGTAAAACCCGACCCGCCACGGTCACGCACGCGCTTCGGAACACCTGTCGCGGGCTGGTGGCTGGCTTGGCGGCCGGCCATGTTTCCATGAAACACACTGAAACGTCGTGTTGTGCATATATCGATAGGATTATTTGCCAAATATACCATGGCGAAAGCCTGGCGTCGCACAATGAAACGTGTAGTGACCGTGAAAGGTGTGGTGGAAACATCTGTTAAGCTGGCTGTGCGACGTGTCTTGGTGTGCGTGCGGCGCGTCGAAGTGCGCCGCTCGGCGCATGCGAGCGCCTCTGCCGTTGGGGTCCGCCGCTGAGCGTGAGGCGTCGCTGCCGACAGGGGGCGCCCAGGAGCCGTGGGAGCTGCAGCCGCCGCTGATGTACCAGTTCCCCAGCCCCGCCTCGCCGGAGACCACCGGCCGGCAGCTGAAGAAGGAGGTGAGCTGTTACCGCTCCCTGTGTCCGTGTCCGTGTCCGTGTCCGTGTCCGTGTCCGTGTCCGTGTCCGTGTCCGTGTCCGTGCCCGTGCCCGTGCCTGTGCCTGTGCCTGTGCCTGTGTCCGTGCTCGTACCCGTGCCCGTGCCCGCGCCCGTGCCCGTGCCCGTGCCCGTGCCCGTGCCCGTCGCAGTCGCAGTCGCCATCCTACTCGCCCTCATCCTTGTCCCGGTTTCCGCTCCCGTTGCCGTAGCCTTGCCGTCGAATGTCGGCGCACCGTCTTCATCTGGCCGTTTGTACTGACATCTTTCACTCACCCCATTATGCGTTGGCCAGCCCACGTCTGTCTCGCCCTGTTAAGCATGTGTGCGCGTCTACAGGCTCTAGCGCTCGGGTCTGGCCCTGCTCTCGCTATGACCGTGCCAGAGGGCCCGCCGCCTCGGGCCCGGCGGTGACGCCCCTACCCCTCCCTGGCTGCAGGAGCAGTGGGAGCACCTCTTCGACGAGTACGGCCACGGCATGACCATGTACCGCACCTCGGCCACCAGTCAGCTGGTGCTCAAGGGCATCCCCTCGACGCTGCGGGCCGAGCTCTGGATGCTCTTCTCAGGTGGGGCAGCCGAGCTCTGTGTGCTCTTCTCAGGTGGGACAGCCGAGCTCTGGGTGCTCTTCTCAGGTGGGGCAGCGAAGCTCTGGGTGCTCTTCTCAGATAGGGCAGCCGAGAGCCTTGGGCGCTCTGTTCGCGTGTGAGTGGCCAGGCGCTGACCCTAGCGGCCGGCGGCCACTGGGAAGGTCATTGCTCGGGGTCGGTGTGACATTTAACACCTAAGTTAGGTCATTTAGCGTCGCCATCTGTTACGTTGATTGCTGTGGGGCGGAACTCGCGGCCGGGGGCCTGGCTCAAAGCCCGCGACTTTCTGCACGCGGTTGTGAGGTGAAGACTTGTCAAGCTGAGGTGCACTGGGTGCGGGACATGGCGCTCAGCTCGTACTGATTAGTTTTTCAATTACCTTATCGCAACGTGCGGAGGCATGCGCTTTTCGACTAGCGCGTGGCCGCGTGACATTGTGACGAAATCCAATGTAACGGGTCAACGGCTAAATATCTGCACTGATCATTTTACCTTAGAAAAGGTCAGTCGTGCCCGTTCATCGGCCGGCCATCCCACTGCGCCCGCCTGCAGTCGTATGCCGCTCTTCCCGCCGCCTGGCGTCTAACATCAACACTCGAACTTCAGGCGCCTGCCACGAGATGGCGACACACCCGGGCTACTACGTGCAGCTGGCGCAGCGGGCGCGCTCGGTGCGGTGCCCGGCGGCGGACGAGATCGAGCGCGACCTGCACCGCTCGCTGCCCGAGCACCAGGCCTTCCAGTCGCCCACCGGCATCAACGCCCTGCGTCGCGTGCTCACCGCCTACGCTCTGCGCAACCCCAACATCGGTCAGCAGCTGGGAGGTGGTGGGGCGGGGGAACTCCAGCGTCAGGCAGTGGGCCGGCGCGGGGGGAACTCCAGCGTCGAGCAGTGATGGTGGGGCGGGGGAACTCCAGCGTCGAGCAGTAGTGATGGGTGAAGGGAGGAAAGAGGCTGCTGGTAACATTCCAGCATCGGTCAGTGGTGGGGGGCACCGTCTACAAAACGCCAATGCCAGTCGGTGATGGCGACCTTCTGAGGGAGGAACCCTAACATCGGTCAGTGCTGCCGGGATTGAAGCGGGTGCGAGGTTGGAGGCTCGGATAGATCTTGTGATAGGATCGATTGCGATGAAGTGTTAGCGCAGGAGACACATATATGGTCTGCATGAGCAGATGATGCTACTTTCTCGACAGAAACCGAGTGCTCGGTTGATCAGCGACTGTCTATATCTCAGCAGCTGGGCGAAAGTCCGCCACTTGCCGTCCTGCGCGCCTCTGAGCCGCTGCCAAGAGCTCATCGCGACCTGACTTGCGCTCTGCCCCGCGGCCGCAGGCTACTGCCAGGCCATGAACATCGTGGCGTCGGTGCTGCTGCTGTACTGCTCCGAGGAGCAGGCCTTCTGGCTGATGGTGGCCATCTGTGAGCGGCTGCTGCCAGACTACTACAACACGAAGGTGGGAGGGGGTGAGAGTCGGCCGGGTCACTCCCCCAGGCCAGCCGCGGCCTTACGCGCCATCGTTGTGGCTGGAGAAAGGCTGACTCTGCCCAGGAACCACCCGCAGCCCACAGGGCGACGAGTGAGTGGGTGGGTGGGGAAGGGTACGCGGAGAGAGCTGTGTGTTCACGTTGACACCCAGCTGTTGCCCATGGCGTGTTGCAGTACCAAGGCGTGGCAGGGAAGGCAGAGTGGGGTGTAGGGAGGGGGTTCCTACCCATCTGGGGACCTTGGAGAGAGCCTGAACGTGCGAGGGAGCTGGTCTGCACGTGGCCACGTCCTCCTGGAACATGGCCGTGGAATGAGGCGTCTAGCAACTCTGTTACTCCAGTACTCCTCATCTGACACTGCAGACGTCCGGCGTCAGGTGCCCCATCACCGCGGCCACCGCGATGCTGAGCTACTGACCGGGTCAGGCTGTTCCTTGAACCGGTCACGGGGTTCGCGCGTCCGGGCCCCACATGGGGCGGCCCGGTGATTACACTGTTGAACAGCCGCCACTCACACCAGCACCGCGGCGGCCGAGCGGACGAGTGTGACCGACTGTGGGCCGGGTTTGAAGCGTGCGCGGCTAGAGCGCAAACGCCTGGAGTCGTCGCCATCTAACTGCGCTGCCCCAGTGCGGTGTGGTGGCCGTCCGCTTGTTGGCTTTTTGAGTTACCGGCTGTGACCGCAAATGGTGTGCCGTGTACGCCAAGGTTATTGGCATGTCCAGAGCTACCTAGCGCAAGTCCTGGATCGTCTGAGTCGCACTGCTGGTCAGGTTGTGAGAGCGCTGGTGGCACCAGGGGTGCTGGAGGACCTGGCCTCTGATGTTGATCTGTTGCTCAGGTGGTTGGAGCGCTGGTGGACCAGAGGATGCTGGAGGACCTGACCTGATGTTGATCTGTCGCTCAGGTGGTGGGAGCGCTGGTGGACCAGGGGGTGTACTGGAGGACCTGATCTCGGTGGAGTTGCCCGACCTCTACACCAAGCTGGAGCAGCTGGGCGTGGTGGGCATGATCTCCCTCTCCTGGTTCCTCACCATCTTCCTCAGGTACGCCGGCGGGTTAACCGCCTCCGCTGACGCCCCTGCGCTCTCGGGGTGGATTAGTCATGCTGACACGGCTGGAGATGGCCGTGGCAGGTGGCGCTTACAATCGGGTAGCCTTCACTTCTGCCTCCGCACAGAGAATCTGGCTGCCTTTCGTGATCACGTTTTATGAGTGCAAACAGACCACGGTGTGACGCATTTCCAGCAATGCCTTCGCGTTGATTAGTTCTTTTCGGACTGGATTCGTGTGGTGTTTGGTGTACATGGTAATGGACGCTGCTCACGAGGCTTGGTATCGCTAGGAACCGTTGCAGGGCACTGAGCAACAGACGCGTTCAGATGCGTTGTGGAGACCAACCGAGGATGCGATGGTCAAAGTGACGCTGCGACTGGTTGTGGAATTGCGGGCCAAAAAAGGATAACGTGATGTTAATCCTCAGTATTGTAATTTCCCGGACTGGTGAGTAGTCGGGACGAGCTACCACCCGCTGAACTTTGTCCCGGTGAAAGTCCGTGCGTCATAACCATCCGCCGGCCTTCAGATCGCTCCGAAATCCTGTCCTTGCGTTCCGACCGGCTGGCCTGTCGCCGGTTCCACCCAGCCCCTCCCTGACGCTCCAGCCCCTCTGACGCCCCCAGCCCATCCCTGAAGCCCCCTGTCCTTCCCTAGCGCCCGCCCCCCCCCCTCCCCCCAGCCCCTCCCTGATGCTCCAAGTCACTCCCTGACGCCCCGGCCCCTCCCTGACTTCGCCTCGCTCTCCCCCCGCCAGCGTGATGCCGTTTGAGTCGGCGGTGAACGTGATGGACTGCTTCCTGTTCGACGGTGCTCGCACCAACTTCATGGTGGCGCTGGCCGTGCTGGATGCCAACCGGGCCGCCCTGGAGGGTGAGCGTCGAGCGCCGGTCCGGCCGGGGCTAGGAGACCGCGAGGTTTCGTGAAGATTGGGGAGCCATCTTCGAGCGTGATGGCGCTACCCTCCCAGTAGTCGTTGCGTCGATTTGTCCCATTTCCTTTTTTACAAAGCCCGGCTTGTTTCGGTACGCATTGATTCAATGCTTGCAAACTTTACGGTGACGTTCCCTGTACATTGCTGGCACGTTCTAAGTGATCGAAGTACTTGAGTGACTTGTACGCACTATGTATGCGCCGAAGGGTGCGATCTCGTGCACTGTATCGCCCTCCCCCCCCCCCCCGTATAATATTTTGACTTGTCTGCCCAGACATCATCAAGTACACGCTCTCCCAGCGTCGTTGGGGCGGTCCCTGTCGCCCGTCGCCGCCTGCCCCGATATGACGCCGGCCGCCGCACAGACTGTCGCGACGACGGCCGAGGGCGATGACGTTGCCTGTGCCGGTACCTGGAGGCCGTCACCAACTCGGACATTCCCGGGTGCGCGTCGGCCAGTCGGTGTTCTACACACTACTACAAGCCCGACACCAAACACCTGGTCATTCGCCGCCGGCCGCCGCCGCGGCCGCGCGCCTGCATGGTGACGTCCCGGCGGATCGTGCACTTACACGGGAGGGGAGTCTGCCACGTGCCGTCACGAGCTCATGGCAAGCTCGGTGGGAGGCTGGGTTAGAAAACCACATTTACGCACGCTGTTCAGGGACTCGTCTCTTCCACACTGCATGTAAAGATAACTGCTGATATTGTTCTTGGTCGTTCAAACCTCAGCACTGTAATATACACAGGAGATTCGGTGGCGCTTTGCTAAAGCATGGTCGCGAAATGGCCTGGGCAGTCGTTGCGCCTGTAATCACCAATAACTAACTGCTGAGGGCATCTTTCCTCGGTCTGCTTGAAGTCCTGCTGCGGCTGGCGCTGCGCCTGTCAGATGGCCATCACATTCAGAAGGCCTCACCTTGTGCTCCGCACGCCTGATACGTCTGGCTGTCGAAATATTTTTGCACGATTGTGGTACATGTCATGGTTGTGGCATGCACCTGTATCGTCATTGTGAGAGGAAATCAACGCCGTCTTCGCCACGTAGGAGTGGAGGATGAGTGTCGACGCTTCGGGCTAATACCGTCCTGTCCACACCCGCGAAATCCTGGTGCCGCAAAGGGGCGTTGGCCGCAATCTGATGTCAAGCGAGAGCCCGCAACTTCCGCCACCGCGTGGTCTCAGGCGCGGGGTAAGCGCGATAATCAGCATTGGAAATACTGGCTGAAAATACGCTGCTCCGAGTGCCATTCAGAGCGCCGTTCGGTGCTGGGAGCGCGCCGCTCGTTACCGGTCCGAGCCCGTGGTGGCTACTTGAGCTCATTTGGAGGCGGCGTGACTCGCGGCGACGTTCCGGTTACTGGTCCGAGCCCGTGGTGGGCTACTTGAGCTCATTTGGAGGCGGCGTGACTTGCGACGACGCTCCGGTTACCGGTCCGGGCCCGTGGTGGGCTACTTGAGCTCATTTGGAGACGGCGTGACTGGCGGCGATGCTCCGTTGCGATTTGTCGAGTTTCACTGAGCTCGTTTTGCGCTTTTGACCCACTAAGGCTCTGCTGCTATCTGCTATCGCTCGATTTGCGGAGTGCAGCGGTTTGGCTGGCGGCCCTGGCTTAATCTGGCGACCGACCCGTCTGTGGTCAGCGTCGACGCCACATACTGAAAGCGTACGTTGTTGGAGTGCGCTAGGAGCAATCCCGCCAGGCGTCTCGCGGGTACGTTCGCTCACTTTCCTCGCTCTTCGCCTCCCTGGCGCCGCCGCTTTTGCCGTCCGGTTTTCACGGTTAACGCTCTACTTCCGAGGCGCGGTCTCCCAGCCGAGCTACGCCCCGCCCACTGATCCCGCTGCCCCCCCCCCCCTCCCCTGCTGCTGCCGTACGGCCACTACCACAGCCGGGACTTGAGCATGAAGCGCGCCGCGTTCTGCCCTCTTTCAGGACGCAGAGCTGGGCACCGACTGTTTAACGCTGCTTGATGGCCAGGTCAGCCGCCGCCGCGCGTGGCCGCGGCTGTAGTGTAGCCGTGCACGGCGTCCCCCGCCCCCGTCCCCGCCCCGCTGATGGTCTGTGGTCGGCCGGGGCCTGCGGCGTGCCGTGGCCCTGGTCTTGTACCCTCGGGCGGCCCCGGCGACCCCCGTCGTGACCCTGTGCCGTGGCTGAACTGGGTGCTGTCGGGCCGGTCGACGCTTCGGCGGCGCACTCTTGGACAGTGGTGACGCCACGCCGGGGCTTTTTGGACGAACGAATTAATTCAGCCAGACCAGACCAGACCAGACCAGACCAGACCAGACCAGACCCGACCAGACCCGACCCGACCCGACCCGACCCAGAGCAGATTAGACCAGACCAGATCCTATTAAACCAGACCAGATCAGACCAGACCGGACGGGGCTACGCCAAGTTTCGCTGTGACGTGACGGCCTTCCTTTTTGACCTGTCCTGGTATGCCCCGACCTCGCCCGATGTGGCTTAGGTGGGCACCGCATGGCTATCACATGGCTGGCATTGCACGCAGCACGCGGGAAGCTCCCTGTTATATTTGTACTGTGTCTGGATCTGTGCTCGGCGTGGTGTGGGAGATGGCTTGGAATGGGAGAATGCGTCCTTTCGCATTTGTTTTAGTAAGTTCCGTGTCCCGGCCCTGTGCGATTTTATCTGCGCTTTCTGTGCCTGACATGCCCTTAAGAGAGTGGGTGACAACGAAAGTAGATTGTGACTGATTGCATACGTAGCACTCTGGAAGCACCGAGCAGAGAGAAAATGCTCAGGCAGGTGAGGCGCTGGCGGATGTGCCGTTGACGTCAGTTGCCTGTGACGTCATTGGCATGACAACTGCCTTAAGTATCTGGACGGAAAATGCTGTGAAATATCTGCCGTAGCCTGCTTATATGATTGCAACATTGACTATTCATTAGGTTAACGACTAAACACATCCGCTAGCCAAGCTGTCATGCACCTGAAGACACTGCTGCATCGTTTGCTCCCTGATCGCAAACGTGTTTTCCCTAGTTCTTGAACATGAAGCCTACGTTTTCACTGTAACGTGTTCCTTTGTCCGTCACGGCTTCTTTCACCGTGTCCGAGCCTGTAAAAATCTGGCCGTGTTGCGGCCATGCGGACGTATCCTGCTCTCGTGCGTGCGGAGGCACAGATGAAAGTGCGGCACTTCCACAGCTGTCCATAGACTCATTGACTGTTTTCTACCGCTGTCTGCATTGCCGGTCTGCATTCATGTGTTTTGCTTGTCTGGCGTTGTGTGACGCCCCCGATCGTTCGCCGGCTTCTGGCTGCTGCAGAACACCAGCATCGACGTCTCGCTGCTGATATACGAGGCGTACACCAACTTCGGGAAGCTGACCAACTCGGCCATCGAGCGTCTGCGGCTCAAGCACCGGCTCAAGGTGAGCGCCGCCGCGTGGCGCCACCGTCGAGTGCAGCAGCGTTTTTATGAAAAGAGGACGCGACGCATGTCGTTGCGCCCCCGCTTCATCGACCTCCAGGGACTGCATTGGCTATAGCAGGGCTCAGAGGCCATGCTGCTCCCAGGATTCGAACCTGCGCCCCCACGTGTGGTTCCGAGGAGCTAATCACTCGGCCTTCACGCTTCCCCGGCAGGGTGTGTGCACTTAGGTATCGTCATTGAGATATATGAGTGGGCGTCATAATGGAGGCCATGGTTCAGCTATTTTGCGATTGCTCCTATAACTGTGAGGTTCGGTGGGCTGGTATGAGCTGGTCCAGGACCGCTGAGTGTGCGTGAGGGTTGCCCTGCGTGTTCAGACCGCCATGGCCGCGCCCGAACACCTCGACGCAGGCCGTGTGGGTGACGTCACGTTCTCTCACGTCACCAGGTGATCCAGACGATCGAGGACTCGACGATGAACAGCATGATCCGCTGTGTGGAGGCTGAGCAGTTCTTCACGGCGGCAGAGCTGAAGGTCAGATCCCGTCCTGTGCTGTCCTGTGCTGCCGTTCCCTGCCGTGCCGTGCCGTGCCGTGCCCTGCGCTGTGCTGTGCTATGCTGTGCAACTTTGTCCTGCCCTGTCCTTTTCTGTCGTGCTCTGCTCTGCCCTGCCCTGATCTGCTCTACTCTACTCTACTCTACTTTGTTATGTTCTGTTCTGTTCTGTTCTCGTTCTGTTCTGTTCTGTCCTGTCCTGTCCTGTCCTGTCCTGTCCTGTCCTGTCCTGTCCTGTCCTGTCCTGTCCTGTCCTGTCCTGTCCTGTCTCCTACTGCGCAGTCATGTGTTGTCTAGTCCTCTGTCCTCGCCAGCCTTTGTTTCATTTATTGTCCCACTATACATGGGCAAATCCATGACGAGAGCTCACACCCTCTCGCAGGCTTGTCGCCGTGTGTAGGTTGCGCAGTGCCACTGAAGCCATAAGCCCCGTCAAGCCATCCAACCAATGCCTTTGGCGGCCGCCACATCAAAAGTACAGTCGTACTCAGACACGGCGGCCGGTGACTGTGCCGTGACGCCTCGGCAGGACCTGTTCCTCTACATCAAGGAGGAGTACCTGACGCTGCAGTCGTACGGACGCGGCGCGCTGCCCGACCCGGCCGAGAAGCAGGACCCGTCCGTGCACAACTACCAGCTGTACAAGGTGGGCGCCCGGCTCGGCCGGCTCCGCGGCGCGGTCTCGGAGGGGAGGGGGGGGGGGGGGGGGCGGGGGGGGTCAGTGCGCCGCGACGGACGGGTGCCGCGCTCTGACCTGCCGAACCGAGGCGTCGGGGCGCCGCCGGCGGCTCCCAGAGGGAGGGCACCGCGCCGGGGCTCGGGGAAGTGTTGGCGGGATTGTGCGTGTTGTATCGGACGTGACGCGGGTTGTGACTGTGTGACTGTAAGCTGACTGTCGTCGGACCATTCGTGGCCATGAGCGCGGCTTAAAACACCGTGTGTGTATGGTACGGCCGGTGTTTGCTTGATGATATACTTAACGGGTGCCTCCGCACACACGGAAGGCGGATTGCTGTCAGCTCAAGGACTTTGACCTCATAATTCGGATCGTTTTTGTGTCGGTACGGTGTTTGGCTTTAGAATCGAATTGGGTATTTGGCTTTAGAATCGAAGACGTCCGCGAGCTTCCAGCAAGGCGGCCCCAGCGCGCCATGCCAGCGGAGTGACACGGCCGGATCGATGCCAGTGCCTGTGATCTGACACCGGCCGTCCTCCGGCCGGCGTGTGTGTTGTTTGCTCTGCTGATTGAGCCGGCACGCCGGCGTCCGGCGGCGCGGGCCCGCTGGCGGGTGGCGTGGGGAGCGAGACACGCGGGCGATGTTTGGTGGCCGTGCGGGGGCTGGGGGGGGGGGGGGGGGGAGGGGGTCGGGTACCGGGGCTCGCGCTGGCGGCGTCCGAGTGGAGCTCCCTGGCGCTCTGATCGGTCAAATATTTGGGAGTCGTGCCCACCCTGATAAGGGGTTGTCCCGTTATGGAACTGGCGGGGTGCCAGAGGTACAGTGTGCCTCCCTGAACGATAGATGGCATGGTAGATGATGTCTATTGGGCTGGTGTATGTGGGGGTGTGGGGGAAGAGGAACAGGGTCGCCTAGCGCCACCCTCTCACCATTTATGTCCGTCCGCCAGGTGGACTACCCCCTCTTCCACACCCTCTTCCACAAGTTGTGTAACTGGAGCGCCGGCTCCATGGCGGACAGCATCGCCTCTCGCGCCTTCAAGGTGAGACTTGAGCAGCTGCCCTCGGTGCCGGGTCGGTGAGGTGACAGCATTACCATCGAACGTCTCCACGGCCTCCAGTGTGAGACCTCACACGCTTCTGTTCCTCGTCCATGGCTCGCATAGCACGTATCTCACGCCCGTCTCTTATTGCTGGGGCGATGTTCTCGCATTCCTCGCTTGATTCAGGGGTAAGAACCTTTGCTTCTATATTTTTTTTGAAAAGCAGCGCGACCCCGCCGTGTCTCAGGCATGACATGCTGACATGCTGACATACATGCTGACAGACATGCAGCTGGCGTTCTGCCATCCTTGTGGCGCAAACGCGGCTTTGAGTTCGATCACCACGCAGCACACCCACTAGCCCGGTGCGCCTTTTCCTATCGGAGCTCCGCTGTCAGTGAACGCCTCAGATGCATGCAGATTCGAGCCGGGAACATTGGCAGCAAACTCTCCGCGGCGCGATCCTGCCGGCTGTGCTTTTCCGACGGCAGTTAAATACAGCAAAAGCTTTTGACGTCTTTTTTAACAGCCACCTTCGTGGTGAATGTTTCGTCAAAGACACGGAGATACTCTTCAAATGTAAACGTAGTTCAGCCTGGCGCCCCCACCTTTTATCGATATTGTGGCGCGTCCGGTCATAAGAAGTCCTCAGACGCGTTCGTGAGACTGGGCGACAGCCATAGAGAACCGCCCTCCCCCGCAGCTGGACCATGTCGAACATGTTGGCCGTTCAACCGTGTGAGGCAGCCGTTCAGCGCTGTGCCACTGAATCAACTGTCCTGTACGGTGGGACTGTGCGCGGCACTATACTGTGACTGTGCGCGACACCCTGCGACTGTGCGCAGCACTGTGCTGCGACTGTGCGCGGCACTGTTCTGTGACTGCGCGCTCTGCCTCGACTATGCGCTGCACTGTACTGCGACTGCACGCGGCGCTATTGCGGCTGTGCGCTGCACTGTACTGCGACTGTGCGCGACACTCCTGCGACTGTGCGCGGCACTGTGCTGTGACTGCGCGCTCTGCCGCGACTGTGCGCTGCACTGTACTGCAACTGTACGCGGCGCTATTGCGACTGTGCGCTGCACTGTACCGTGACTGTGCCGTGTTCCCGTGCCGCAGCTGATGGACACCAGTGGGGACGGTCTGTTGGACCTGCGCCAGCTGGCCTGGCTGCTCGGCCTGATGACCCGCAGTGACCTGCCGCGACGCCTCCGGCTCTTCTACTGCCTCCACCTGCCGCCGCTACTCGACCAGCACGAGATGGACTCGCCCATCTCGGGTGAGGGCCACACCCGCCCGACGACGAGGTGGACTCACCCGGGCCGGCCCGGCATGCTCACTGTGCGGTCTGTAACGCGCTTGCCCGGCCCCTGACCTTCTAACTGTACCATTGCAAACCAAGCACGCTCGAACCTTGTAGCTGTGAAGCATTGCGACCAGGATGCTCACTAAGCAGAGCTCGTTGTGTGGACGCTGCTGCTGCGCTCCAAGCTATCCGAAGTATTACAGCCTGTCCAACCAAACCGAAGGCTGTCGTTGGCGGCGATTAGTCGCCTTGCACAGCCGTCCTCGCGCGCTCTGGCCTTCAACCAGCGCGCCGGCCGACCTCTGAGGACGCTGCGGCGTCATCCCGCCGCCACATAGCCCCGAGCGCCGCCGCAGCCGAACACGAGCCATGTGACGAGTCGTGTCGCGTCGCCGACTCGTCACCGCCGTGCGAGAGTGTGCACTGGCGCCGGCGCCGGCTTGTGGCGAGCGCCGCTGACGCCTTCCGTCCGCGGCGGTCTGCAGACAACACCGAGGTGGCGTCGGAGGCGTGCGAGTACTTCGAGGCGTTGTCTGACGCCGAGCCGCCGCCCATCAGTCTGGCCGAGATGCGCGAGCTGGTGCTGGGCGATGGGCACCGCTCGCGCACCGTCAGCGGCACCAGCTTCACCTCAGGTCAGTCAGCGGCTCAGGGACGCCTCAGGTCAGTCAGCGGCACCAGGGGCGCTTCAGGTCAGTCAGCGGCACCAGCTTCACCGCAGGTCAGTCAGCGGCACCAGCTTCACCTCAGGTCAGTCAGCGGCACCAGCTTCACCTCAGGTCAGTCAGCGGCACCAGGGGCGCTTCAGGTCAGTCAGCGGCACCAGCTTCACCGCAGGTCAGTCAGCAGCCCAGGGGTGCCTCAGGTCAGTCATGGAACGTCCAATGTCATGGGACGGCACCAGGGACCAGTACCTTCGCAGGCCTTTTGAACACGTCAGGATAACGGTACTAACCACCTCATACTATTCAGGCTTCTGAAAATTTCGATCTCCAGTCAGGTTGTGGATGCCTGTCTTCTGCTGGGTGTCGCGCTTGAGACTTCCGTCAAGTGGGCATCGCTTGTAGTTTCTCTAGGTGTCAGTAGCGTCGTCATCATTGACGGAACTCCCGTCATTACTCGCTGAAGAAGCGGTCACCAGCCGCGTGGCTCGAACCTAAGCATTATCGCCAGGCCTGTGGTGTTCGGCAGCCGTAACGCTTTGGACCGTCGCGTGGCTTGGTTTGTGGCGTGGCCGGCGCGTGGAGTCGGCAGCCGCCAGCCGCGGTGTCCCGAACAGTTTCCTTTTCCGCCGCCAGGCGCCAGCGGCACCGGCGAGGAGTCGTCGCAGGTGCCGATGATGAACCAGAAGCAGTTCATCTACATGTGGCGCGCGCTGTACGACATGTTCAGCGAGGAGCAGACGCGGCCGGAGATTTTCCACTCGATCGCGCACGTCGGTGAGAGCGGGCTCCGGCGGGGACGGTCGGCGGAGCGGGTAGGGGGCGCAGAGGCGAGTGTGGCACGTGGCGAACGGTGGCGTGGTGTTCCGAGTCTTTTGACGAGCTTTGGTTGGCACGAGTGTTGCTCACGTCCGCGCGAGCGATGTGCTGGCGCTGTGGTGGAAGTGATCAGTCTGATTCCGGTGTGACTTGGTGTTTCTGGCGTGTCAGAAATCAAGTCAGACTTGATGTCTGACTTGGTGTTTCGCGCCATTTCAAGCCTGTGTCGTGGGGCGCCGTGTGCACCGTCTCTATTTGATATGCGCCGTTCGCGAACTATGCCGCGACGTCTTAATGCGTCAGAACTATTCGCGTGACGCCCGCGGGACAGCTTCGTTACAGGGATGTGTTTGGCTGCGTGAGCGTAAGCGTGTTTGCGTTCTGTCACCGGGCGTCGTACATGTTTGCGTCGTGTAGCGTTTGACGCTGTGTGGCGTTTGGCGCTGTGTGGCGTTTGACGCTGTGTGGCGTTTGACGCTGTATGGCGTTTGACGCTGTGTGGCGTTTGACGCTGTGTGGCGTTTGACGCTGTGTGGCTTGTGACGCTGTGTGGCATTTGACGCTGCGTGGCGTTTGACGCTGTGTGGCGTTTGGCGCTGTGTGGGCGTTTCAACGCTGTGTGGCGTTTAATGCTGTGCGGCGTTTGACGCTGTGTGACGTTTGACGCTGTATGGCGTTTGACGCTGTGTGGCGTTTGACGCTGTGTGGCGTTTAACGCTGTGTGGCGTTTAATGCTGTGCGGCTTTTGACTCTGTGTGGCGTTTGACGCTGTGTGGCATTTAACGCTGTGCGGCGTTTGACGCTGTGTGGCGTTGGCGCTGTGTGGCGTTTGACGCTGTGGGGCGTTTGACGCGTGTGGCGTTTGGCGCTGTGTGGTGTTTGACGCTGTGTGGCGTTTGACGCTGTGTGCCGCTTTACGCGGGGCGTTTGACGGCCGTGTGGCGTTTTGGCGCTGTGTTTTTTTTTTTGGGCGTTTGACGCTGCGGCGCGCCACGGTCGACAGGGACGCTGCTGCTGCAGATCGGGGAGGTGGGCAAACGGTTTCAGAAGGAGCGCACGGCCTCGGCGTCGGCCGTGCTGCAGGGCCCGGAGGTCAGTGACGCCGCCGGCGGCAGTCTGGGGTCCGTTGGCCTGACGGCGAGCCTGTCTAGCTGGTCTAGATGGGGTCTGTGGAAAACAGGGACTCTGCTAGGTAGGGCGTTGTATGTGGTATACAGAACCCGGCTTACGCGCAGAGAAGCACGGGCTCGGAAGTTTCTCCTTCTGTTTGCCGTCGCGCTCAGGAAGGAGCGCTTGACCCTGGTAATTTTACTGACAATTGTGTTCGCCCATGCTGCGGACCCGGGCGTTTCCGATCACGTGCTCGACGCTTTGTGTGCTCATGTGTGTGTCATATGTGCTGCGTTGTAATGTCGGCACGAGCAGAACTGTTGTTCAGAAGTATCGCCATCTTGGAATGTACCGTACATTAATGATGCATGCGGTAAATAGCAGGACGTAGTCGAGCAGTGTAACTTGCTGGCGGCATTGACCATTATTCTTCACAAAATTGCATTGTTTTCGACGAAGCGTGCCGACATGGGTCATTTTACGACCGGTATATTAACCCTGTGGACTGCTATTCCTCTTAATTATTTTAAAAAGTTTTTAGGAGCAGTCACACATCGTCGTGCCGCTACTTTTGATAACACTTATTTTGTGTTTAGTGAGAGGGGACCGAACGTGACCCGGTTTAGTGGCCTGTCGGTAATCATTGGTATGTTGACCATCATCACATGACATGTCATGTCAACAAAGATGAAGGCGGTTCTAGTGAAACTTTTCCTATTTATGCCCATGTCAGCCACCGATTGCTGTTACCGTTAGTAACAGCGGCTCCTGTTTCTAAACTTGTTTACTCCGCTGACTCCTGCTTGACCTGTTGTTAACCCTGTTGACCTGTTGTTGACCCCTGTTGACCAGCTGACTGTTATCGGCCCTACTGCTGACTTCTTACTGCCTCCTTGCGTCCCTTAATGCTCTATGCTGACCTCTGTCCTGACCCCTGGAGTAATGTCCACCGTACCCCTGACCCCGGCAGGCGCGGCCGGTGGACGGCCTGACGGACATGTCGCTGCTAGTCGGAGGCGCTGTCCGAGGTGACGCCGGAGCCGGCGGCCGACGAGGCGCCGTCCGCCGCCGGCCGCCTCCCGGATGCCGACTGGGCCGTCTCGTTCGAGCAGTTCGTCGCGTCCGTGCTGACCGAGCCGCCGCTGGTGGCGTTCTTCGAGGCGCGCGCCGACGTGGTGGCGGCGGTGAGCCAGCTGCGCAACGTGCGCCTGACACGCCAGACCTCGCTGAGCTTCAGCACGTCGCCGGCCGAGGTGAACGCGCTCGTGTGAGTCGCCGTGCGCACACTGCGGCCGCTGGAGACGTGCGCTCGCTCGCCTGAGCCCCGCGCGGCCGGCCAGACGTGGAGGCGGCTGCTTCGCGGACGGAGGGAGGCGCCGACGGTACTCATGCAGGCGGCTGGCCGGAGCTGAGCAGCCGCTGCCGGCGAACTGGCCGGCGCCTCGGTGCCGAACGGCCGCCGACCAAGCAGCGCCGACGGACGGACCGGCGTCCACCAGCTCGGACCGCCGTCCCAGCCGCCATCGGACGGCACTGTTCCCGCTGGAGCGGCGGAGTGACGCGGGGGCGTCACCAGCGCTGCGCGTGCGGCTGAAGGCGTCAGATGCTGGTGGAGTGGCTCGGGTCGCGGCGCCGCTCCGTCGGTTTCAGCGGCCTCCACCACTCGGCGGCAGGCGTGACGCCGGACATCACGTGCGTGCGGCTGGTGGTCCGCGCTGTACATACCTTACGTATGCCACGCACGGTTTAAGTGATGCATTTATCGTCATGGTGCACTGCGGCGCGCGGGGTCCTGACGAGATCTGTGTGTGGTGCGGGCGGACGGTGCACGAGCCAAGTGCGGGTTCTAACCTCTGGTGCTGACTACCGTATGCTGCTGTAGCGACTATGCAGTGAACATGGCTGCCGTCTCCCGGCGGAGGCTCGCCTGCCTGGCGGCGGGTGAGCCGGACGGCGCCACGCTTCTCTGTCCGCGCCAATCTCATTCCATTCCGCTTCAGTGCCAAGTTCTGCGTCCGCGCGCGGCGGGACGCCCGTCGACCCATGGGTACCCTCGGCGGAGCCTGGCTCACGAGCTTCGTCGGGGGCTTAGTGCGATCTTTTAACGGAGACCAGTGCCCCGTCTGCGGATGGACTGCAGGCGAACGTGGCGGCGAGCGATCGGGGTCATTCAGGCTGTGCGTAGAGAGGCCCTTTTATCTAGCGGTTGGTCAGGCTTGAGGTGCCTTCGGTCGTGACGATGTTCGCCCGTTTTGGGACGCTGGAGGGGAGAGGGCATTCTGCGTGCGCAGTTGGGGTGCGGCGGAGGGCGGGCCGGAACCTCGCAGGTAGACTGGCAGACTGGCACCGGTGGTCCCTCTTGAAAGGGGGCTTCAATGTCCTGTTCGCTCGGCTGCTGGGGGTCGTCCCCCTGCCAGAGGCCAAATGCTGGCTGCAAGCCGACAGTCGCGGTTTTAGTGGCGTTTGCCACGCCGTTGTTTTCAGAGTTTCCACTACTCCTCTTTCAGAATTATGGTTGTGAGTAGATTGCCATTGCAGCAGAGAGTGAAGGAGACACGAGTGTGCATGAGTGCCCTCGCGGCCTCTTCAGGTGTGTGAAGCAGCGCTCTGCCCGCGTCCGAGCTGCGTTTGATGTGAGGCGTTGACCCTATCATGCTGTAAACATTGTTACAAGACCGTCTCATCGCGAACGTGCAGTGCTTCGCCATATTTGCGGATGGGTCTGGCGCTAATGTAAACATTGTTACAGGACCGTCTCATCGCGAACGTGCAGCGCCTCGCCATATTTGCGAATGAGTGTGGCGCTAACCGTCTCTGAATATGTGGCATATGCATGTTTATTTTGTCCTCGCGTGCTTGAAACCGCGAGTCGTGTCCCTCAGCTGTTGATATTCCCGGGTGTTGTACCGCGCGGATCATGCATGTACTTCGGAAATCACTGGTGTCGGACATGCCCGGCTGTACTGCGGGCTCCGGCACCCCGGTCGGCTCCAGCCTCTTCCTTCTCCTTGCTGTATCGCCGCGTTTACCCCACCCCGGAGTGTGAATAAATACTTTGTATAGTGGTCGGCGCTGGTGTTAGGCTTCAGTTGACGGCGGCTATGTCGGAGCGGAGGAGCAGTTCACCAGCCTCACGCCACAGCCTTCCTCCGTTTGCGTAGTGCTGGTCACGCCCACTCTTGGGCGGGTGAAGAGTCGAAGACTCGCTGTTGGATTTTGGTAGTCATCGACACTTGATGCTGCGCACGGAGTGAGCTATGTCGGCGACGCTACGCGTTTGAAGCATGCGCGATATGCGGTATGCGTTACGATATACGCGTAAGGTCTCGCACGCCTCAGATCGAGTGTACGGTGTACCAGAGGACCGTGCGACGTAAGGTCTGCACCGGGCCAATAGTCCGCTGGCGGTTATGAACCCAGACCGTAGCCGCAAACCGGATGTGTAATCACGCGCACCTTCTCGTCGGTGGCGGTGAAACAACGGCCACCATTACCCGGCGAAACAGAAACAGAACGTCGCAGGCCTGTTTGCCGCACCGGAGTCAGCGGCATGCACAAATCCAATTATGGCCACCGAACGACAGCTCCACTCGGCCGACTCTGTAAACCGCTCGAGTATGGATGGGCAGGTGACCAGCAGGTGAGCTCCGACAGCATCACTGATTATGGCCAGCAAACGACAGCTCCACTCGACTGACTCTGTAAACCGTTCGAATATGGATGAGCAGGTGACCAGCAGGTGAGCTTCGATAGTATCACTGACAACCCACAGGCAGGGAGGGCGGTTCAGCTCGCTGCACGGAGAGCAGCGTGTGGCGCTGTGCACGGGCAGCTGGCACTTCACTCACGCAGCGGGAGAGCTCCGCAAAGTTACAGGGTGCTGGCGGGGGGGGGGGGATGGGGCAGTGAAAATGGCCACACTTGCCGAAAGCACGCTCAAAACGGGTTTCTTTAGGATTCGCCGAATGCGTTTTCAGAATTGGAGGGCTGAATCCCTGCCGACGGAGCAGGAAACTGCACATCTGACTGGACACGTTTACATCTTTAGGATAACAATCCCGATTTTTGCGCGCGCGCGAGAGAGAGAGAAGGGGGGGGGGGTCGGGCCGTGATAGAGTCACTGCCAGTAGCCCTTATGGGCCGCTAGAGTGAGCAGCACCCATGGGGCACTGAAACCGGCACCGCCCGGAGTATTCCGCAGGCTAGCGACCATCTCGGGGGTTAAAGGAGCTTGCCCCCCCCCCCCCCCCCCCCGGTAACTGTTGCCCATGATCAAATGGTCAGCATGGATAATTATCACACGGCAGAGGATAGTCCTGGCCAACCTCGCTCAGAGATCAACGCGGCCATTCTTTTACGCGACTGATGACGTCACGAAAGGCACGCCAGGGAGCCTTTAACGTGAGAATTTACGTATTAATTCTCTCCCGCCCGTAATATTTGTTGTACGGCTTTGAGAGTCGCACTCAAAGAAACCTCGTGTTCTTGCGAATTGATGAATCATGTCCAAAACGTTAACAAAGGTCCAAGGGCCGTCAGGGCAGGTCAGGGTCATGTGAGGTAAGCAGGATTGAGTTGAGCAACAGGCACGGTAACGTCAAGGGACTGCAGCACACTTATTTCCTCTCGGTTTACACGACACATGCAAGTATTGATTTGGAAGCTCGTCATACTGACCTAGCCCATGGCACGGGAGCGCAATAATGCATTGGTAGCATGTTTTCATGTTCACCCTGCATGTATTCTGATGGCGACCCTGTCCGACCTCTCATTGTGTCGCTGACCTCCGACAAGTAGACCAAGGCTACTGGCAGCGTAGTGGTTCAAACTGCGCGTCTTTCAAACGGAATGCTCCTCATTTGAAAAGTATTGAAGCAGACATGAAAAATGATGGATCTAAAGAAGCTCCATAAACCCCTATAAGAACCCCCTAAGACTCAAGACAATAAGACTCAAGCCCACTTACACTTACACTTGGCTAGTGGAAAAGACTGCTCTAGACAGCACGATTTCCTGTTTAGTAAATATGCTCCTCAATGCGTTAAAGCTTGATCACGTCATCGGGGCCCGCACAGCATTGATTGAGAGCCAAAGGACGGCCGTTATGCCTGGAAATTGTGATCACGAACACCAGATATGAACGACTCAACCGTATCTTTTTTGCCTTGATCGCCAGATGGCCAATGGAATGACAGGATTTGAATGACGTAGTTATGGCGCCATGGATGCCTGGGTGACCGTGAAGAAGTCTCCCCGAAATAGTCTGCACATCTTCGCATGCGTGCAGCTCAGAGACTGGCATGGCTTAGGTCTTAAGAAGAGTAGGGCTGTGAACTACACCCAATGATCTTCAAAATGGCTATTTGAATTCAAGACCCCTACAAACGTGGAGCAATCCCTTTAAACCTTGGGTGCGGCTTAGGTGCGGTTTGGGTGCGCTTTCCACGGTTGTGCGTTGTTTCTGCCAGAGTGAGAGACAGGCGACGTTATGTAGACTCAGCAGCTGGTACGTCGTAACGCCCCTAATACCACCCTCCCCCTCTCCCCCTGACTGACAGACCGTTTAACGACTCAATAAATGCCACCAAAGTAATCCAGGACAAAAGCGAAAGCTTTTGGAATACTGGCTTTAGAGGCAATGCAAACCTTCACTAATGACATCAAAGGCCACTGATTCTTCTGACTGACCTAACACTTCATTCCTTCGTTTTTTTCTGACTGACTGACCGACTGACTGACCTAACTGACTGACTGACTGACTGGCCTAACACTTCATTCCTTCGTTTTTTCATCAGTTTTTCCATTTTCCCTTTCACAAACCGATCACCTGCATGGTACTGGCTACCTGATGGGCGTCTCCGCCTGAGGCTAACGTGGGTTCGGCTGTTATTCTCCGAACTCATCGACAGGGATTTCTTGTCACCCCAAAGCGGTCGCGGACTCAACGTCCTACTTGTTTCCATTGTGGAGTATCTCCAGACGCTCCTTTTGGTCACTCAGTTGGTCGTGTGAAATAAGGTGTTCTACGAACGTCCACATTCCATGCTTTCCTCGATGCGCGGCGACCGTATTTTAAAACGGAACTCCCCTCAGCCTCCTCCTACTGTGCCTCTGAATACTCCTTGCCAAAACCTGCATTTCCAAAAGGTGTGGTGGATTATGATAACTTTATCAAGGTTAGCAATAAGAGTCTCACACGTAAAAAAACACTTGAGAATCGGACATCGCAGCTGGCAAAGCACATGCAGTGTTTATTTTCTTGCTTGTTTATTTTATTTTTCGCCAACAAAGCAGCGCTCCCCTAAGAGGCTACGTCGTCTAGATGAAACGCAATCAATACACAGCATACAGCAGTATGAACATAAACAAGGATGACATATCTCTAAACTAGTGAACACGCCAAATAGTTTAAATATACTTGGCCACTTAAACTCTAAAAATGCCGAAG